TTTGGCCTTAAAATGGACTAGGTATTTTAAGAGGCAGAGATGTTTACAAAAAAAAAAAGTTCTTTTCAGGCAATAAGGAAAACCTATTTTAAAAAATGAAGGCAGAAAATAGAGTACCAAGTTTACAGATGAAAAATGATGAGGGTCTGAATCAGAAAGGTGACCATATGAATACAGAGAAGGGCACTGGAGATGTTAGAAGAGTAACACAGACAAAACTTGGTAGCTGATTAGCTATGGATAGTGAGAGAAAGGGGAAAGCCCAAGGGGAATCTTAGGTAGCTTTAGGGCATTAAAAAAATTTATTATTATTATTTTTAATAATTTCCCCAAATTACATTTTTTTTTTAAAGTTTTGAGTTCTAAAGTTTTCTCCCTCCTTGCCCTAATTACCTGAAACATCTCCTCTTCAGTCTTATTTGGACTGTTCATTTACACTGGCTATAAATAAAGGGTTTATAACAGAAAAATAAATTTCAGCTCCTGTCTGCATGATCACAAATTCTAAAAGTGAGGTCTGAATTAATAAAGTTTTATTAATTAATTAAATTAATAAGGTTATATCATAATGAAAAATACACCTCTAACACTTCTGATGCCATCATCAAAACTCTTTTTGAGCATTAAGACTCACATAGCTACTCTGTACCAAGGTGGAAAAATTTGAGGCCAAAGTCACATGACAAATCATGACTGTGGCACTCAAGGTCATTACCATTTGCTGACATTGGTGCATCACAATGTAAAGAATCACCAGCACCTGCCAGCCTAAAAGAACCAGAAACACAGATGGGGTCAGATTCTTTCAATGAAAAAGTACCTAGTAGCCTCTACTTCAACAATTGAGCATGTCAGTCAACAGTTCATCAGTCAGTCAATAAATATTTTTAAGCACTTCCTTAGGGGCCCCAGTGGATTGAGAGTCAGATCTGAAGTCAGGAAATCTGGCTTCAGACATTTACTGTGACCCTGGGCAAGTCACTTAACCCAGGTTTGCCGTAGTTCCCTCATCTGTGAAATGAGTTGGAGAAGGAAATGGCAAATCACTCCAGTATCGTTGCCAAGAAAACTCCAAATGGGATCACAAAGAATCAGACTCTTCCAAACAATAACAAGGACCTACTATGTACTAGGCACTGTGCTATGTGCTGGAGATAAAAAAAGAGACAAAAGATAGTCATTACCCTCAAGGAGCTCACAATCTGATGCTTTAATTTTATTCAGAACAACTTTCTCTAAATAATGGTGGGGGTGGGAGTGGGGGTGGGGGTGAGGATGGTAGAACGGAGAGTCCTTGAATATGGCCTTATAATCAATCTCTCTGAATTTTAGGAGTCCAATCACCATTTCTCTAACAGGGGTTACGATCTGCCTTAGTACAAGGAAACCTCACGAGGTGATTCCCTTTATTCCAGATGAGGGAAGATGAAGCAGAAAGGGAAATGCTTATATTGATTCAGGTGAAGGGAAAAAAGTCTCCCCAAAAGAACATGGCAGCACCAAAATGGGTCACAGGTGGGAAGACAGTTCTGGGGGGCAGGGTAAGGAGGATAGTGAATGAAGGATAAGGAGCATCAATTCCAGCAGGCTGCAATCCAATCTTGAATGCAGCACGAAGGCTTAGTAGGAGTCTGAGACACTGAAATTATCTCTGCAAATGAACAATTACACACTGAAACAAGCCACTTAGCAAAGTGCGGTTAGAACAAAGAGTAGTTCTTAAGGCATTTCAAGCGAGTGTGACAGAATCTGAGACATCGGGGCCCTTCCCCCTGCCACCTACTCCTCTTCACAAGTCTCTGAAAGCAGGGAGCTGTCTAATCTTTGGCAGATGCTCAAGAGATTACTCGGACTGCTAGTTTGCCCCTATCGCAGGCCACTGCCTAAGTACACTGTAAAAGACATTAAAATTCAATATTAGAATGAATAACCATTCTTCCCACACCTAACTTTTCAGTTTTGCTTCTTGACTTGCACAGTAGACAACAAATTTGCTAAGATTTTGCTCAAGCACAATCTTATTTTCTGAAGTTTAGTAGTATCAGAGAAGACCTGCAACCTAGCCATATGCCCAGCCATGCAAAATAATGTAAGCTGCATAGCCAGGTATCTACACTTCTCTCTCTCTCCCTCACAAAACAAATAAACAAAAAGTGAAATGGTAAGGGAAATAAGCAGAATGGTCCTAAAAGAAATGGAATAAACTTTAGGTTTTCTTTTTGTTACATTTTGGTGGGTTTTTTGGGTTACATTTTGGTAGGCAACTCTGTGCGTGTGCGTGTGCGTGTGTGTGTGTGTGTGTGTGTAAAATCAAGGGGAGTCTTGGGTTTTATTCTGTTTTTTTAGGCAATTAGGGTTAAGTGACTTGCCCAGGGTCACATAGCTAATAAGTGTCTAAGAACAAATTTGAACTCAGGTCCTCCTGACTCCAGAACCAGTGTTCTATCCACTGTACCACCTAGCTGTCTCATTTTTTTTAAATAGAGGAAGCTGTTCTTTTTTTCTTTCTTTCTTTTTTTTTAAAAAATACGTTCTAAGCTGACAAATATAAGTCATGCATTGCCATTTTGATCAAAGGGAGGACCAGGTAAGAGGGTGGATGGATCAGAGCAAAACTATTATTACGATCACTAACACCACTACTGGAAAACCAGCTCAGACTGTCACGTGGCCTTTTAGTCACGGATTTCAAGAACTTCACAAATGAATATGAGGGGTAGTATATAAAAGACCTTCCCTTAGCCTAGAAGTAGCTGGATTTGGAGTAAGGAAAAACTGGGAAGGAAAGGAAATCCTGGCTATGACACTTCCCAGGGGTGTTACTCTTGGGAAAATGACATCCTTTATCTGTCTCAGGAAACTCCCTATGACTTATATACCAAATTGTACATGGTTTCCATCTGTATTGGTGGAAGGAATTCCCATTCCAGGAGTTTCCACTGGTGAAGAGAATCTCCAAACTTATGAAATTATGAAGAAGCAGTAAAAGCCATGGGCATATGAAGGGATAGGTATGCTACTTGTAAAAATGAACAGATGTGATTTTAAGATGTATACTTGTTTGGGGAAGTACTACTATTGGCCTATTCAATTTAAACAAAAGCTGTCTTACAATTAATTTTTTCTTTACTTCGGAAGGAAGTATCTGAAGAAGAGTAAGATTCTTGGGAGAGGATGAGGGGAAAGGAGTGTGGAGTAAAGAACCGCCATCAAGGAATTATTTGACAAGGAGAAAACATGGGCTGGCCCCATAGTAAGAATGATGGAATTATGGAATGGTGGATAGCTGTGATATAAAATAATACATGATAAATATTAGGGGCTTTAGGTTTCTATCTTCCTCAGTGCTTTGTACAGTATACTATACATAGTAAGAGATTAATAAATGTTTGTTGAGTGAATAACTGTGGAGGAAAGGGAATTATGGTGGGTTAGAGGTAGAAACTGAGAGGGAAAAAAAGCAGTTAGGACTACCTTTACTCAAGGTACAAACCATTACGACTATCAGAGGCCAAATTTTGCTCTGAGCTGTTGACTATGCCTACTCTGGCTACTAAAAGGCACAGATAAAGGCAATCTATTTCTGGTTATAGCCATGACTGAAGAGGGATGTTCAGTAATAGAAATAAAGACAGAGTAATATTTTTAATAACATTTTTTTCAAGCCATGACTTCATGTTAACACTTGCCATCATTCAAGGCAGTTCATTAGTCAGCTTCACCAGATTTTCAAGTTTGCTCAAGCACATTTACAAATTTCCAAGTGTCAGTTCTTCTATTTAAGGCAGAAGATAAGAATAAAGCCTAGCTCATTGTTTCCCTTCATTTTAATCTGTGTGGGGTCAGAATTTCAAAGAACTTCAAATTTTATTGACTGAAATTCATTTCCCAACAAACACAAAGGTTGCCCTGGGACTTTAACCCAATACTCAAAGCCCACCCTAAGACAAGGGGAGGCTATTCAATAGTTCATAAAAAGCAATGAACATTTTAGTGTAGTTAATTTGGTTACTAAAAAATGGAAATTGTGAAGCCCAGGTTCAATGAGTACCACAGTTAAAGAATTAATGTTTGTTGATTTTTCTATATAAAAATAGAGACCTTACAATGAAAATGAGAGAAATATCAGGGAGCAGAAACTTTATATTTTTCTCCTTTCACTACTGACTCTTTTCCAGAGAAAGTTGGGCAGTTGCTTATTCTAAGTCATTTGGCCCAGCCAATACTGAATGACATTGTGTGTGTGTGTGTGTGTGTGTGTGTGTGTGTGTGTGTGTGTGTGTG